CTCATTGCTTGGTTCTTCTCCTAGTTTCACATTTATTAAAAAAAAAAAAAAAAAGAAAAAAGAATGGTATCCACTTGTCATTATCAACAGTGATTTTGCTTTATTTAATCACAGACAGATCACATTACTAAAATATTTATGGCAGATTACCCAAGAATTTTTATTTTTGCCTTCATGAAGTAGTTTCCTTTAAAAAGTTCAAACTAATCTAGCACGTTGTCCATTGCACCCAAACTTTTGCCGCTTAGGTCATCTCAACATTATTATCATTATCACTTCAATCTGCCTTCAAAAACATCACCATTTAATTATCTCATACCAAGAAAAAAAAAAAAAATTCACCCAAATGACTGGATTAATTTGGCCACTGCTTACCTGGTATATAATTATATACCTGGTTTTTATAGCTAATTGGGCCAAGGGAAAAAAACAACCAAACTTAAGAAAAAATATAAAATGGAAACAGTTAAGAAGAAAAAAAAAAGGACTTAAATGTTGATTTAACATAAAATCCTGATTTGATTCTGGTTGGATGATGAATGCAGATTTTATCACCTTTACACTTTCCTCAACTGTTGAAAATTTTCAAAAAGGTTGTTTTCCTGCTCTGCATCAGTTATATTGACCAACATTCCTTCAACGCTTTGAACAAAAACTTGTTGAAGGACTAAAAATTAAAAGAACAACAAGAAATGAAGAAAGTGAATTTCTTTCAAGAGGCCTTTGCATAAATGTATGTCAGTTTTACGTGAAGGAAGCTGTGTTACCAAGTCCTTAGAGCAACTTCAAGCTCTTCACCCTGTTATTTAAAGGATTTGTTCTCAGCTGCTGTGAGTTCAACTACACTAGCTACAATTTGGACATTGTCAACAACATGCCTACCTGGAAATTAACTAACCCCATTTTTCTTGCCTTGATGAGCCCAGAAGAAAACTCCATGCAATTCAACCAATTGTTAGTGTCTTGATTCATGGTTAAAATGCACGAAAATGTTAGGGTGATTCCTCACTTTATCACCGCGTATCCT